CCTTGAGTTTCACGATTCTGTCGAAGGTCCTATTAATCCGACTATATTTACTTCAATGATTGATTCCTATGGTCCATGTCATTCAGGTCATGGCAGTGCTGGTAGCACTGATGGAACATGCACTCATTATGCTGCGCAAACACTACGTCGTACATGGCCATGTGACAATCCCACATGTTCCTGAGAATTGCATTGCCAGAATCGAACTTTGAGAGAAAAGTTTGTTTTCATTGAATTTATTTTCTGTGGTTTGTTCTAATAGATATTGAAATACATGCCGACTTTCAGTAACCGAATGTCGAGCTGTTCATCACTCAAGAGTGTGAGTGTGGGTGGATTTAGATGAGTTGAAGCGGATGTGTTTGAGTGTAGGTGTTTCTGAGTGTGTGAAGGTATGAGTGATGTGAGTGTGTTTGGATGTGTGTGTGATTATGAAGGTGGGATGATGCCTTCAACGCGGGTATGTTGGTAATCTAAGTCACATCCAAATTGATAGCCACAGCCACAACTATTTTTTTTTCCGAGATTTTTACATTTCGTTTTTTTTCGACATTATTTAAGAGAACCGTGGGTGTAGGTCTCTCTTTAACACACATTCATATGCAGTCACACAGACATCCATAACCACATGTCCACCCTACCTCTGCCCAAATCACAGCAACAGCCACAGGGTGGGATGTGGGTGAATGTGACTAGAAATTACGATTAGAGAACATTCAAACCCACGTCAGCAAACATTTTTCTATGTTCATCCTACCTGTAATGACGTCATCTTATTTCCATACACGATGGGTGTGGGTGTGGGGTACAAGTGAAGAGCGCATGTGCACCCACGTCTACACCCTCTGATGCAGGTTTTCCAATCCTTTATCTCTGAAAAGCTAATACGTGATTATACAGACGAAAACATCGTTATTCGAGAGAAAGCAGACTGAACAAATAACAATTCAACATAAGAAGAGCGAGAGACAAAAAATGATGGCGAGCAAAACATGAAAATGAAGATGTGAGCAATACAGCATAATGTTAACGCATTCAGTTACTAGCGCAACGTAAAACTTTATGAAATTACGCATGCTCGTGTTTGTAGTCGTTGTGATCGATATATTTGCGCCAAACGATTCACAGGATCTACGTAATTTTCTCGAAACCAGATCTGCTTGAAAGCAAGTATCCTATTAACTCGACAGTTGCGTCCTGCAATAACTAGTGACGGAACTACAACCAACTGATGATTCACTTATTCAATCTCATAGAATCTGCCCTGCATATCACGGCTGAGTGCATCGCTGAGAAAAAATACTTTACCGATCAATAAATCTGGACGAAGAGTAAGAACAAGGAAATAGACGAGACGATCCTCTTCATCGGATAATGATGCGCAGTTAGAATAGTTTGTAAAACGACGAATGTCGTTATCATTATAGTCGATACAGTAGCAAACACAGTTGAGATAATACATTAATTTTGCGATGTCATTATTTGGTACATTGGCTCGTACTGTAGTGTCACGAATTTGGTGACCGGACAATTCGTTGCAGGACAATTCGTTGCGGACAATTCGTTGCGGACAATTCGTTGCATGGACAATTCGTCGCAGGACAATTCGTCGCATATATGTATATATAATTAATCAGTAACTTTTTCGATCAATTGTAATAAAATAAAAATTGGATCAACACCTTAAAATTTTATCTTGTGATCTTTTCGATCTTGATTAGAACAAAAGCGATAATTTGTATAATTTCTATCAATATCTACTAATTTACTTGGCATCTAATTGCTGTGGAATATATAAATAAGTGATGATCTTACAGAATAGTCTTCTCATTTTATTGCTTTGCAAAAGATTACTATATACGTATTTACCATGGCTAAAATTGAAAAATTTTTGAGCGAAAAAGGAAAACCATTGTTAGTTTATGAATCATATATATACAATCTAGAACGGAATACTGGTGTAAAACTCATATTTCGATGCCGGAACCGTGATTGCATAAAGGTAAAACTATATAAATATTCAATGTAGCAGAGTCCAGTATGCTGATTCTTATTTCAGGCTGTTTGTTTCATTTTGGCCAATGTGTATGGAGGCAAATTCAAAGTTGTGGCTTAACCAAAAAATATCATGGTGATACACATTTCGATAAAAATGTAAAAAGATTAATTGCATTAGCATTTGTTCCACTTGTAGATGTTGTGAAAGCTTTTGAATTACTTGAAAATGAATTTGATGACGATGCTGATGAATTCATGTATTACTTTGAAAAAACGTGGATTGGAGAGCGCAAGAGACGCGGTAAGAATAGTAATCGAATTCCATTGTTTATTGCTTGGTTTTTTTAAGGAACTGGTCGAAAAAGACCACAATTTAGTCATGAATTATGGAATGTCTATGATCGAGTCATAAACGATTTACCTCGATCTAATAATGCCATCGAAGGTTGGCACAACGCATTTGCCAATCGCGTAGCCATCGCCCATCCAACGATTCCCAAATTAACCAACAAAATTATCCAAGAGCAATCAAAATTTGAAATTGATATAGAAAAACTTCGTCAAGGTGATGAACCAAAACCAAAAAAAGCTGCATACCGAAAGTATGACGACAAAATCAAACGACTTGTTCAGTTATATAATAATAACGATTTGGCTCAATATTTAAGCGGTATTGCAGCTAATATAAATTTGTAAATGCTGTTGTAAACAAAAAATATTTATTTACTTAACTTTTCTTATCCTAGAATTATTTTTTTTGTGATCGAATTGTCTTTTGTCTTATCATTCAATAAAGTTTTCTTATCGTTGAATTGTATTCTTTGGTGAATTGCAATGTATATCTTTATCATTTGATCAAAAACACATTGTATAAAATAGCTGATTATAAAAATATAGCTATATTATTAATGCAAGGTAGTGGTTACTTATGTATGCGACGAATTGTCCTATAATGAGTCATGTATGCGACGAATTGTCCATGCAACGAATTGTCCTGCGACGAATTGTCCTGCAACGAATTGTCCTAGCACCACGAATTTGAGTTTGCTGTCGTTGCAAATACGCCATTTCAGCAGTTTGCGTTAAGAAGCAATGCAGTTCGAGTGATGTAAGTTAGACAGCTTACTCGCAGTTAAACTTTCTCACCGACTACGCCGATTCAAATATATTAAATATCTACCATTCTTTTATACTAGTGGAAAGACTGACTTCCTATTTTTTGAGAATAACGAAGCAAAGAAGAAACCACTTGACATGGAATAGCATGATTCATACTTCTGCAAAGTTTCCAACAACTATAGCTCTCTTTTTACATCATTACTCATCAGAATGCAAAAAAAAAATGCGATTGTAACGTAATCGAATACATGTGTGTGTCGAAGGTCGGAATTTACACAGAACTCTGTCACATTTCTGGCAAGGAGGGCAGAAGAATGCCAAGAAGGCGCACACCAACTATACTTCAATGTAGTTCACTGTGTTTCAGGTGGAATCAAGCTAGACTCCATTTTTTTAGTCGAGTAGAATAAGTCTTGCTTTTCCTACTGATTTAAATGAATTATATTCGAACATGATTTTAGCGAATTTAAATTTGTTAGCGATTCACTTGTTAAATATTAGGTGAAGGTCGACTGATTGATCTGCCTGA